CCTGTCTCATTTGTAGGGTGAGGAAATCTACGAATTCATAATATTGAAGTGAGCCGCCTCAGTTGCGTTATTTCTGTTGGTACCCAGTGTGTCATGTAATATTGTTTCTCGAAATCACTTGTTAGTAGCAAGCTTCGTGGAGACTTTCATCTCTCATCAAGTGAAGCTGAATTGGGGGAGGTTACTTGTTGAAGTATTTGCGGTTATACTTTTTCGTGTCGTTAACTTTTTACACTAGACATATGACTGCTGCCGATTCCACTCCTGTGTCAATGCGACTGCATTGTCAGCCTAATTGCCATCATAACTCAACAAACCCATTCAGGCATCGAGCATAATTTGCTGCAACCATCTTTAGGAATCATATTTTTGTGGAAGGGGATCATTTCATATCCCAACTACTGTTCTGCGTGCCTTTGAATATGATGTAATGGTGAATGGGACTCTGTTTCTGCCTGTTTTAGTTTGGAAAATATGTTTGACCACGTACTACCACTTGGGTTAATGTGTGATGAATGAGTGGAATGTTTGGGAAGAGGCAAGTGTGAGTGAAGAAACAAAGTAGCCTTCGTCGATTGTCCCTGCAGGAAGAGGGAGGTGTAGGAATTGTCATGATTTGTATTAGAGATTTGAGTACACCACATCCAAGCTGTGTGTGAGTGCATGCAAAGATACTTTGCCGCAATTCGTGTGGTGTTCACCTTGACGTCAGCGACTTTGCAGTTCCTTTTCCACACACCTACTTACTTGTGTGAGAGTGTGTGGCACTTCAGTCAATCTCCTTTGAAATGGGTTCTGCCAAATGTCGTCGAATTACGTCATTTCTTAGTGTCGAACGATCTGGCCTCGTTCATTCGATGTTTCAAAAGCAATGGGTGTGTGTCGGAGTCGCTTTTCATCTCTCTACTGAGCTGTCAGGAGGGGAAATTGTACTATTTGAATGTTAATGTATGGGTGTCTCATGCGATGCACGTACCAAGGTGCTTCTATCGTAGATTACCATTTCCATGACTGTGTCATTGCGCTTTCCAACTTGGTGTGTCGTGGTTGTCGTAGACTACAACTGCGCAGTCTTCTTCTTCGCGTGTACGGCAATTGCTCTCCTCTGCATGCCTTTACTTCTGTATCGCTTTACATTGCCTCGATACTGATCTGGTCAAATGACAAGGCAATTGGGAAGTGCCTCCCTGTCAAAGTGCATGGCATTTGCTATGGACAAGTGTTGTGCTGGTGAAATCACCTGCGATCTTCTTGTACTCACTCACTTGGTTGCGACTTAAGGTAGGCGGTAGTTGTCAAGGTGTGGCAATGC